GAGGGGTGGGGGGTGGTGTCTGTATGTTAGAAAAGGAAAATTGCCAACAGTAGCTCCCATGGTCACTCTCTAAGGAGCTATTCTTATGTAAGGAATGTAGGTCTGTTGTGAACTACTTACATGCCAACATCACGGCGTAAGAATCCCTTAGGAGACTTAGCTAAAAGCGGAATCCGCTTTCAATATCTCTCTCAATTGGCTTGCCCTGAGCAGTCTACAGCAGAGAGATTAATATAAAAATAATTCTTTAATCTGTTCACTACTCTAATTCCTAAACACCTAAGCCATTTCCAACAACCTCATTAGATTCCAAGAATTTCTTACCATTTTTGCTTTCCTTCAAAATCAAAGAAGCTTGGTTTAGCAGTATTGCAATTTCCAACTTTGACCTAAACGAAGGTGGGGGGGAAATAAAAAACTTATTTTTCAAAGAAACGCCAGAGAAACTTTTTATTTTCAAATTTATTATGCATACTTAGTAACTAAAGATTAGAAAATATTTACATCTATATAGAATAACAAAATTTAACATTTTTTTGCAAAAGCAAACAAAAAAAACAAACTTTAAATACAGGCTGCTTGACTACTGCATAAAACAACTGTTATTTAACACTGTAATCCATTAAAAAATTTGTGTGACAAACAGTTGCATTCCTAATTAACAAATTATACATATGACAAATTATAACTATGGATTATGCAATCCTTATACCATTTATAATATAGAAGAATTTTTAAACATGCAATAAACAAGCTTTAAAGTACAGTTTATCAAAATTCATAATATTGTTTATTTATACTGATTCTCATAAAACTAGCAGCATTTTATCTCTCCCAAATTCCAGGATAAAACATTTACAGTGTCCTATTATGAAACCAATCAATATAAATTCAGATGTTGAAAGCTGTGCAAAAAATTTCAAGGGTTTCTCAACAACTATATAAATTCTATCTTTAATAGTCTCTTGTTTGTGGCCAATACTTATTTTTAATCCAGTTAAAATATACAGTAATCATCTTCATTGTGAATAAGCATAAATGAAATTCATACAAGTACAGAATTCACTCTACAGGCCCTGATTCCCACTGCCAGAATCCCCCTTTCCGATGAACTCTCAAAGCACTTACTCTGTTTAGTACAATCTATGACATCACTTTTCATGTTTGGTGTTAGAAAGTATTGTGTAAAAGTCTCATTCTATTAGAACACAGCTTCTAAGAAACCGTTTTTAGCTTAATCATTGCACCTAAAATAGTGCCCAACTTAAGGTAGTAAAAAATGTTTGTTGCATAGAGAATGAATATGTTAGACATACATTCAACAAAATACCTGCTTTCCCTAATGCTAAATACCCCAATCTGCTTCTCCGGACCTTCCCACAGCTCCTATTACTCTTTTACACTTGAATTTTGCTAAAATCAAGCTGATGGTCTACTCACTAACCAGGCTGGTCTACTCAGTGCCTTAGGGATTTTTAGTCTGAATTTGCTCCGTGTTATTCCCCTCACCTGAAATGCCTTCTCTTCTCCCTTCAGCTTTTCAAAATGCTACACCTCCTACTCAAGGTTCGGATTCTGAGAACCCTTTCAGCCCAAAATGATCTCATCCATTTCTGAAACCATAATGATTATCATCTCTGTCGTTTGCTTACAATGAATCACAATTAATCCAGTGTTATGAAAAGGTACACTTACATGGGAGCAGCCCTGCTGTGAAGGGCTGTGGGGGAGAGTGAGAGAGCAGGAGCTGCACTTGTTGAACAAATGCTTCACCTATGTTATGTCAAAGGAGCCACACAACAATCCTGTTAGCTTTGTCATGACAAATTCCTTTTATAAATGAGTATAGAGAAGCTGAGGAGGGTTGTCACAGTTCACAAGTTAGTAAACCCTCATCAGTGGTCAGGATTTGAACCCAGGACTGTTTTGACTCCAAAGTCCCATGTTCCTTTACTATAACATTCACCTTTACATATTATATAGAATCTGGGCTTTAGTTCTGCAGTTTCCACAGTCACCGCAACTATTGGATGGACAGGAATATGAAATGAGATTAACTATCAGACATCATAAAAATAGCAGTTATTACTATTTTTGTTTTTTAACTAGACACCAGCAAGTGGCAGAAACAAATACCGATATCTATTCTCCATTTCTCCTACAATAACAGAATTCTCAGCCGAACATATGGTCATCCAGCTGACGCACCTTCTGCCCCAGCTCAGGGGACTGAATGTGTGGGAAAGTGATAGAACTTTTT